TCCTATGCTACACTACATATTATTATACAGTATTTATATAGCGCTAAAAGGTTTGCTCAGTGCTGTACATTATAGTGGGGGACAGTACATGAGACAATACAGTAACAGAACAATACACGAGGGGTTCGAGGAGGGCCCTGCTCTTTCGAGCTTACAATCTAGGAGGGAGGGGATAGTGGTACAGGAGGAAGTGGCTGTGGGGGATGGAGTAGTAGGAGTGGAGGAGATCGGCTGTTAGGTGAGGGCGGGGTAGGCTTCCCTGAAGAGATGGGATTTCAGGGTGTGCCTAAAGGTGAGGAGGGTAGGTCACAGTCTGATGGATTGGGGTAGTGAGTTCCAGAGGATGGAGGAAGTCCTGCAGTCGGGCGTGGGAGGTGGAGACCAGGGAGCTAGAACGTAGGAGGTCTTGTGAGGAGCGAAGAGTACGGGTTGGGTGGTATTTGGGTATCAGGTCGGTGAGGTAGTTTGGGGCAGCGTTATGAATGGCTCTGTATGTCTGTGTTAGTAGTTTGAATTTAATGCATTGGTCAATCTGGAGCCAGTGGAGGGAATGACAGAGGGGGGGTGGCAGAAGCGGAGCGGTTGGTAAGGTGAATGAGTCTGGCCGCTGAGTTCAGGATAGACTGAAGCGGGGATATTCCTGACCATTGGACAGTATACACTATGTTATATGATATTTGGTCCTGACCAATGTTTTTAGTGTCCCAACAGTTGCTGCTAAGCAGACATGTACTGTCCCATTTTACTTAACTATGGTTTCAGATAAATTATATTACATTTTGTTATTGTGAAATGTGTTTGAGTCGATGGGAAAGGCAAAATATTAAGGTGGTTTTGTATGTTTATCCAGCATAAAGCAGGTAAGTTGGCATATGGAAAACAAAAGGAACGCAATAGGAACATTTTTATACTGTCTGTGCACAGTATCTACACCCTGCCTTGTCCTTAGATTTTTTTTTTTTTTTTTTTTTTTTAGGAATGAAGCAGGGCATTTCATATCATGCAGGAAGACCTGGCCCCACAGTTTCATTGGAAAAAATATATAGACTACTGGTAACAGAGGAAAAGAAAGAAAATTAATAAGAACAGTCTGGCACAGGTAGTATTTGCACTTCTAGAAAACCAGGAAACCACCAGTGTTAGAATACTTTTTTACACTGACACCAACACCTACTTAGATGATCAGGCCGCTATGCACTATGAATATCAGCAGGTCACAGCACCACCAGATGAACAGTTTCCCATTGCTACAACTTGAAAAATTAAGAGATAGGTAGTTTTCAGAATGTAGAGAGATATGCAGAAGCACCTCAGCCCATTGGATCAGTTTTCATTATATTTTTTTTACATGGATTCAGTAAATGAACCGCCTCCAATTAAAACAAAACATAAAAAAATTGAACAGATAATTTGCAGGATGTTGGTGGGGTGCACATTACTTCTGGATGGTAAAATCCAGTGATAGACACCCATTTTCCATGGTAAGCTAGTACAAAACAGGCACAGCCTTCCTGACAGAATAGTGAGGGAGAGGCCAGGTGGGGACAGATGAAGGGTGCTGTACCTGCCAGATGACAGAACAACTGTAGTGCCAGAAACTACTGAGTAGGTGGGGATCAAGGGGCTTATTGAGCATTAAACACTGAATGATGGAGGTCTGGTATTGGAGGTAATCCCTTGTCTTGAGGTTTAGGTGTGCATGAAAGACCCTTTCGGGTGAAGTTCCGCTTTTCCCCTTCCCCTCCTCTTTAACTTTTGGGAACTTTTTTTTTCTGGGGAAGCAGATAACTAGTTTTGGTATGTACCCACTTTTGCTCGGATCACTAGGCTGAAGTTCAGCCCCTCTCCCCGTGCTTTGGAACCTTTGAAGCCTTATGGCACACATCACAGGTCCCAAGATGCTGCAGGTCCATTCACAAAACGCAGTGCAACATGCACATGTGCAGTGGGAAGCCGGATGTGAAGCTGCAAGGATTCATAGCTGGCTTCCCACAATAAACATGGCGGTGTCAGGGACCTGAAGACTGGCTCAGAACCGGCCTGGGTGCGGACAGTGCTGGATCCCTGGACAGGAATGTGTCCTTTTAAAAGTCAGCAGCAGCAGTATTTGGAGCTGCAACTTTTAATTTTTTGTGGGTAAAAGACTGCATGATATGTTTGTGGTGTATATTGTAGTAGGTTAAGACTCTAAAAAGCCATACCCAATATTCAGCAAAATGTAGCCATGCCATCTTTTAATCACAGATCTCCACAAAGGTGACCCTCTTATTATAAGTTATAAAGTATATTACAATGTATTCCCAACATGTCTTGCTGAAGTTCTTCAGGCAAATAGCTAACTGTAGACTCTAAGGTTCATATTTATAAAACAGTGAATCTGACATTCATCAAACATTCACTGCAGCTAAATCTTTCTGGTCTGTGTGATTTAAATGACAATTGGTTCACCATCAGTAAATATTTGGTGAACGTCTCATATACTGCTTGATGTAAAGTCTTTATTTTACAGGGAAAAAGGAAATTCTGACAAAATGTATGGCTCCAATCGCATGTAATTTGCACAGGAATACGGTGCGGTTCCTGTGCAAATCACATGTTATATACCACACTGCATATATGTGAACCCAGGCTAAGAGGCTTCACAGAACAGCTGTATTTATACTGAGATTAAAATTACACACAGGTAGACTGGGTTTACTAATTAGGTGACTTCTGAAGGCAATTGGCCCCACTAGATTTTAGTTAGGGGTGTGACGATCGCGCGTCAGAACCTTCTCACCAAACTCGTGACCAAAGGACTAGCCAATCTGAAACCGCGATGTTACGTGCGTAACAATGCCACGCTCAGCTGCACCCTGCACAATGATTTTCCAGCTCACTGGACCTCAAATCGATGTATCGGCAGCCTGCATGCGATTGTTACTGGGTCAGGTTAATTATGCAATTAACCAACCGTTCACACTGCCACCACCTCCTTTTTGTACAGAGAAAGAGGAAACTCGGCAATATCAGCAATAACACTATGATGGTTGAGATAATCGTTTGTATAGCACTGTCACCACAGACAGGTTATACAGAAGGTTAAACAAAACACAGTAGCGCTCTTTTTAGAGGCAGGAATTCATAAATTGCATTAAAGGAGCTATAGAAACAGTTCAACACTTTCAGAAAGAAATATTTATTACAAAAAGGTCAAATAGGTGCAATAAAAATATTTACAGAAAAAAAAGATGTAACCTATATATATATATATATAAATATAAATATACAGAGAACAACAGCACAGCAAAGAGGTAACAGAAAGGAGGTTAAAGTACTTGCCAATCAGCCTTGGGTTTGCAGATCACGTTTCAGAGCGAAAAGGCACGGTCTCCCAAGGTGGTTCTGATGTTAAAAGGGAGAATTCTTCAACTTACACTCTTAGGCCTGACAGCCTATTTTGTAGTCCCCCAGCAGGGGGTGTCTCTGAAGCCAAGGACCAATGCCTAATTTAGGGAGGGATTGTCTGGGCAGAGACCCAAACTAGAACCAAAATCTCTAACTCATATTTTGGCTCATAGCTTTTCCTAGGCACAAGTACCATTCCACCCGCGGGTAGATTAGTATGCAGATGCATCTGAGGAACGGTTACATATGAAATACATATTTGAAGGGTTCAAGAGATGTAATTTTCTGCTTTCCTAGGTATTCCAGTCAGGGAGTGTGACCTATCAAACGATTTGTCTAATTGTGGGCCATCTGAAGATAGACTTGGTTTTTATGCAAGTCTCTCATATTAAAAGTTATGAGATAGGGGAAAAATAGATTTTAAAAGTGTTATCTAGTCTCTTACTCCTCTGGAATGTCTTTGAACTCAGGGGAAGGCTTGGGTTATCTTTTTACGAGATGCCAAAGTGCTCAGCTTCTTTAGACAGCGAGGCCCCAGCTCCCTTGGGGGTGTTATAGTTATAGCTCCCTGCTGTGTTTTGGCCTCCTGTAACACTTTTCATCACTCAGGCCACATGTCACTGTAAAGGAACAGAGAGGGAGGATTATGGGACAACATGGAGAATGCTTAACAAAATGGTTGAACCGCGTCCATCACTGTGTGTACGCTTGCTACAAGGGGTATCAAAGTAAAGGGGGCCAAATACACTTTTCAGATATTTGTAAAAAATTTTGAAAATCATTTATTTTCCTTCCACTTCACAATTATGTGCCATTTTGTGTTTGCCTATCACATAAAATCCCCAAAAAATCCATTTACATTTTTGGTTGTAACATGTAAATATGTGGAAAATGTCAAGGGGTATGAATAACTTTCCAAGGCACTGTATCTGTCCACCTTGCACATTTCAGTTTGAACTTAGTGATTAAAGTTCGGAATACGATTTGCAAAACCTTGGTGTGTTCTGATCTTATTCCCGGGTATGCACCCCAGGTTGGATGGGAGACTGAGAGCATCCTGACTGAAATTAACCCTTACACCACCTCCTGCTTTCACTCTGCTTAAAAGCAATAAAGATACTTCTATTTAAATCCTATGGAACCTTACATCCCAGGGGTGCGGTGCACTCTGAAGAGTCCTGTATACTGCGTATTTCGTGTCAACTCAATGGAACGCACATTATCCAACATTGGCCAGAGCTGCACCGTTTGTTTGTATCTCCAGGCATCCCTTATCTGCATAAGCAATTTGTATTTATTTGTTATAAAGGTGAACTATGCCTTTAAGTCCCAAACATGGCAGGTAACCAGGTCTGCCTGCACCTATGACTAAATGTAGAATGCAACACGCTCCCAGCCGCTTACATAACCACTACTGTTGTAACATAACATTACCGTTGCTTGCAATTATCCTCCAGGACTTTCTTTTCGTATTATTTGCCATTTTATCACACTTCCTAACCAACAACCTTCTCACTAGACGAACCCGGAAGACCGGCAGAGCACTGGCGCTATCACGTGGTCTTTTGAGGTCACCTGCTCTTCAGAAGCCGCGCCTTCTGCACTGGCTCCCGCTTTGCTAAAGTACCCAACATGGCTGCCAATAATTGTTACGGCTTCAATAACGATGGATACCACAGGTATTGTCCTAGCATAGCCGCTGGGATGGGATCGGTAATGGGAAGCGGAAAGGAGAAATCGATAAAAGAGCCGGCAGATGTCAGGAGCAGGAGGATGGTGCTCTCTGTGTAAAATGAGGGCTGGCACGCAGCAGAAGCAGAGAGGTCCATGGCTGTTCGCCTTCTGACGTGATGGCAATGGGCTCAGACCTTGCCTGCCTGAGTGCAGGTGCTGGCTTTCCGGGTAGTAGCAGTGGGAGTGTGATTGGTGCGTGCTGGCTTGTGTTTATCTATGTCTTGGTCTCCTAGGAAACTCAGTAGTGACTTAGAACCAGGGGGGGGAGGGGAAGGAGGGCCAGATGGCAAAAGGTACAATCCACCCTTGTGTGTTCATTCACTGCCCAGTCATATATATATATATTCTTTTTGCCTAGTGTTTATAGGCCAATTACATCACAATCCCCACAGTCTGTGTGTTGTGCTTTTTATATTATTATTTTACAGGATTTATATAGTGCCAACAGTTTGCTCAGTGCCTTACAATACAAAGGGAGAAAGTATAGCAACAATACAGTTCAATAGAAGATGGTTAGGAGGGATCTGCCCCTTGGAGCTTACAATCTAAGAGATATATGTGTGTATGTATGTGTGTATATATATATATATATATACATCGAAGTCTTTTTTTTTTTTTTTTCCACTTACTTCAAGAGGCAATTACCCATCCCCCTACAATTTTTTGATTTTTTTTTTTTGCTCCCCTTTTTACTTGATGTTGGGATGGCCACAGTTTCCAGCTCACACTTTATAAACAGTTACAGCAGACGCTTTTTCCCTTTTGAGATGAGTGTTTTACGTAAATGAATAAAAGCTGACAATTGTAATCACCCCTGTCAGTGGTAAATGGTGTGTTTTAACCCTCTAATTGCTTTATCTGCAAGACAGCGTTTGTTGAAAAACAGACTTACTGGCCAGATCACCAGGTGAAAATAAAACATCGAAGGCCTAAAAACTAATCACTATGCTCTGTACATATGCTCTGCTTTGTCACACATTTCACAGAGCCTGCATTCTGAACTACAGGAGGCACAGTCAGTACAGGACACAAATGACATCACCACGCTTGCAGGCATCAAGGTACCATGGGATGTTAGTCTTTAGAAATCAAAAGTAAACCAAAGGAATGCAGGAAATCCAGCATGCAGGAAATCCAGAAATTTGTACAAATAAATGACCAGCAGATATGCAGCTCTCAACATGAAGCAAGATTTTTTTTTTTTCATGTTAGATTATTGAACATAACAATTGTTTGTATTGCTATTACAATACTGATGTTATAAATTGAAAGTGTATGCTGTGACTTTAGATCTCCTTTAAGGTTAGTAATTATACAGTATAGGCATGATATTAACAATACACGTTAAGTAGAACTAAAAGTAATACTTTTTTTTTTTGTTTTGGATAGAGTGCAGAGGAATTGGAACACCTGTCTTTTTTGTTGTCTGTGCCCCTGAAAGGGTGTTTCACCTTCTCTATTTGTTCTGTTTACTATTCTCATTGAAAGTAAAAGAAATTCCCATATTTTGATTTGTCCCCAGAAAAGTAATAGAAGGGAAATCTTCCAATGGGGATACTAGTTCTGGTGACCTAGGGGTCCCCAAGGAATTCCCTTAATTTGCAGGGATATCTTCTCACTTCCTGTTTGGGACAGGAAGCGAAGGGAAAGCTCCATAATGGGACACAGGCAGTGAAAAAAAAATCTGACAGGGTTTATAACCCGCTCTTGCTCTATCTAAAATTAAAACGAAAATGTGTTTCCTTTTTGTTCTACTTTAAGCCAGTCAATGGTAAAAAAAAACCAAAAGTTATTCACATATTTGGTAATATTAATTTCTTTAAATCAATGTAACTGCTTGTTTTTTTAATTGCAGTTCTTACACAGAATCCACCTATTCCCGTACTACATCAACACCCAGTTATCCTGGCAGAAACATGCAAAGTTATTCATATACTGGAGATGGCAAATATCCCAAAGGATCTCAGAATATCCAGCCAGTGGATTATGAGGGTCATCAGAACTACACAGAAACTAATCCCGGTTATGGAACATGGAAAGACAATCGAATGCAACAGTCAGCCTTCAATCATGGCTATCAGGTGTGTATTGACAATAAAGTATTTACATCTGTTCTCTGAAGGCCTAATTTCTATGTATTGATTGCTGTCTGTGTCTACTTTAGGGAGATTTCAAACCGCTTTCTGTCCTAATGATTTCACCAGTGGAAAGGGGCAAAATGGTGTTTGTGCTTAACTCTCTCGGAGACAAATGCGTGCCTCTCCCTCATTACAGGGGCATGCAGGAAGGGAAAATCTTGCCAGTGGGGTTATAGACAGAAATGAAATCCTGACAGAAATGATAACCTTCTCATTGTATCTAAACAACTAAACAACTAAACAAAACATTTTTGCTGCAGTTCGGCTGTCTATTCCATTCATACCAATTCTCCTATTGTTGAACTCATGCAAACATCCTTGTTTTTCAATAAATCACCACATTAGTTGATGCTACTATAGACAGATTTGTCCATAGGCTTTTTCGTAGGAACAAGGATATGTGCTAATTGGAAATGTTATTGGTCTTTATATAAACTCACCGGCCACTTTATTATGTACACCTGTTCAATTGCTTGGTAACACAAATTGCTGATCAGCCAATCCTATGGCATTTATGCATCTAGACGTGGTGAAGATGACTTGCTGAAGTTCAATCCGAGCATCAGAATAGGGAAGAAAGGGGATTTAAGTGACTTTGAATATGGCATGGTTGTTGGTTGCAGATAGGCTGGTCTGAATATTTTAAAAAACTGCTGATCTAATGGGATTTTCACGCACAACCATCTCTAGGGTTTACAGCGAATGGTCCAAAAAAGAGAAAATATCTAATGAGCAGCAGTTGTGTGGACGAAAATGGCTTGTTGATGTTAGAGGAGGATGGGCAGACTGGTTGCTGGTAGGGTTAGAATTTGGCGTAAACAACATGAAAGCATGGATCCATCCTGCCTTGTATCAACTGTTCAGGCTAGTGGTGTAATGCTGTAGGTGATATTTTTCTTGGCACTAGCAAGGTGTACCTAATTAAGTGGCTCATGAGTGTTGCTGATAAATGTGATTGCTGCATTTCTCTTTTTTTCTTGACTGCTTTCCTTCTCACCTTTTTTGATATGCCATAGTACACTTCTTATCCCGGGTCACTTGCAGTCTGGAGAAATGATTTTGGGTTGTATTTTTCTAAACTGTATTTAAGAGCCCAAGGAATAGGCAAGAGGCATTTGGATGCAGGCTGTGTGCCAAACGTTCTTCCAGTGCTTTTCAGGTGGTGATTCTTGGGGCCCATTTTACACTTGCTTTGACCTTAACACTTATGAAGATGCCCACTGCTTCAACATCCTTTTTTGAGGTTTTAATGAAGCTTGGCAAAGTGTGTGAGTGTGTGTTCTGCAGATTCCTAGCTTATTAGTACCTTCACTCAGCAGATCCCCCAGCTCTGGTGGTTAGGAATAGTGCTTGGGTGTGTTTTTAGGCTACAGGCTGAACAAAAGAAATGTACCCTATTCCTCCATCCATGTTAAACAGTGCAGATGAATAAGTCTTTCTTGCTGGCTATTATATTCTGATAGCCAGCATCATCTGATTGTCAGTTGCTCTTTGACTATTTTCTACTCCTCCTTTTTATATAAGTCAGTTGAGCAGTTGTCTTTTGTTGCTCTAAGAGGTGTCGACACAAGCACCCACAATTTGAATTTTGTTAAATTCAGCAAGAATCAAACAAAATTCGTGCCATGTATGGCAGTGTTAAAGTGTTAGTAAAAGCTAACTATTCTTAAAAATGTTCCTTCCTACATATCCTGCATACCCTGTAAAAAACCAAAAAAAGACCCCCCCCCCCCCCCCCCCCCCCCCCCCCCCCCCCCCCCCCCCCCCCCCCCCCCCCCTCCATCACAGAGAAATCAGTCTTAGCATAACTAGTTTTCTAATGCCACAGAGGCAGTAGTGCATCCGTATTGATGCAATCTCAGTAGCAGCTTCAGAGCTGTACCCAGCCTCCATGCTGGGTACAGCCTATGATGTTGCTTTGAGCATCGGATCCTGCATGGATGCTCACTTCGGTGTTTAGTGCAATGCATGTAGTCAACCACGGGGTGCTATAAAAGTCTAGGGCCATGGTCCATTCCTATGGAACCCCAGGAATCCCTTCCTGAAGATCTTTTTGAAGGTATGCTCACCATGACTGGTGAAGCCTATACTTTATAGACAGTCGACCTTCATAGACAGGTAGAACACGGTCTTCCTGTATCTCTGCCCGTTACAGAGAAAGACCTGGGTTATATTTCAACTGTATTTACTTTGGTACAAATGTTTAAAACTCAACCACTCAGTTTAGTCTCGGGTGGATGACCAGAGGTGTAACATCACACCATAGGTCACATACTTACTGCCACTTTCACCTAGAGCCCTTTTAAAGTACTTGGGCACCCTTTCACCATGAGGATTCGTTACAGGATGGTCTACACCTGGGTTGGTGAAATCTCCTTTTGGACACGCTTATCTTATTAGCTGCATACTATTCCATGAGTACCCCACAGGTGAATACCCTTTCCCATATCTATGGCCAAGCTGCAGCTGAACATTTGCTGTGCCAAAGCTCCATACAACACTCTACCTCAGGGTGACTATGCACCCATTGCACCAGAGCAGAACCCAATTTTAACACCGGTCTCTGCGTCCGATTCTAGCTCTTTCATTTATGCAGCAAGTGGCCTACCTAACAAAAACAGAATTCTCTGAATTTGTCACAATTCCTGGGACAAATAGTGGCTCTAATACAGCCATTTCTGTCCAGGCCTCTTCTACTCCCATGTCTTTACCGGAGTCAAATCCTGATATGCTTGCCTTGAAAAAGTCAGACCAAGAAGGGAATGAGAGGGCATAGAGACAATATTTGAGGAATCTGCTGAAGATTTTTCTTCCCCAGACTGATGTTTTATTGAAGAGAGAGCTTCACACAGAATACTGGCTAATGTGGAAAAGCCCACTTCTGCTCCCAAATTGTTCAGAGTGATTCTTCAATGTCTCGCTATTGCCCTTTGGGTACAAAAGAGACCTGCAAAATCTTCAAAGACAGTCGGCCATTCATGAACAAATAGAATATTCAATTTATGATGATTAGATCACTCCAGAAAGGATTTTCATTCCTTCCAAAATCTTTACAGAATGCTATCCAGTGAAGCTCACTAAAAAGTGGTCTATTCTTGGAGATGATCCTGTCATCTCAGTCTTAACAATCATCTTGATGTACCTCCTAGAAGATGCTCCTTTTTTAAAGATTCTGCAAATAGAAAATTTGAGAAGCTCTCTTTTACTTATGCAGGTTCAGCCCTGCAACCAGCTCTCATTACAATTTAATTATGTCAATCTCCAGCAAATAGGATCAGAACAATGAACAACCAACATGACCCTCTATTCCAGGATGGAGTTTTAATAGAGCATTTACAGCAATTGTCATGTGCTCTGCTTAAAGCATGTCATTAGAAAGATTTTCAGAATAGCTCCAATCTTTATTCACATGGAAATAATCTTGTAATTAAAAGCCTAAAGATGCCTCACACATGTGCTTTTTGAAGGAAAATGTCTGGGGAGGCACTTGACCAATTCATAAAAGATGTCACAGAAGGGAAGGTTTTACTCACAGCGCAGGGCACCCAGTTACTCTTCCCAGGCTTCAAATTCCAAACTTAATTTCATCCTTTTCCTTTTGGTGCAAGGCATGGGCCACAAAGCCCAGCAAGTTTTCCCTGAACCCCTCTTCCCAATGAAGGGATGCCCTGGGTTCAGTTGGTGCTTTCAAAAGGGGTACACAATACCCCTTCACTGGTTTTCCTCACTTTAATCAATCAAAATCTGCCCAAAGATGATCAGCATTGCAAAATGCCATGAACCATTTCATGTCTCAGGAAGTTTTGCCAGTGCCTCCACAAGACTGGTTCAAAGTTTTGTGTGTGTGTGTGTGTTTTTTTTTTTTTTTTTTTTTTTTTTTTTTTAACTACAGCATGTTCACTATACCAAAGTTCAATGGGGACATTTTGTCCTATTCTGGACTTAAAATATCTCTATAAATACCTTCACATTCCAAAATTTAGCTTGGAATCTGCACTGTCAGTTATTGCTTTTCTAAGACAAAGGGAATGTTGGGCATCTGTAGTCATCCCAAGATGCCTATCTGTGACTCACATTTAACCTCTTCAGTGCTTTCTGGGCTTTGCAACGAAGACAGTCACTTCCAGCTTGTCGCACTGCTTTTTGGCTTAATCTCTGCTCCAAGAGTATTCACAAAGGTCTTAGCACTTCTCAGAACTTGGGGCATTCAGGTTACAGGTTATCCAGACAATCATCTCCTGAAGGATTCCTCTCCTTCCAGCTATCTGAAAACTTCCACAGGGCAATCCAAATGCTCCAGGTCTTCAGCTGGGGGATCAATTTTCAAAAATATGCTCTCCTGCCTTTTTCTGCATCTGGAATACTTGGGTCATGTCTTGGATACATCCCAAGCAAAGCTTTTTTTCCCTCCAGAAAAGAGACCTACAAAGAGATTCTTCATGAGAGTTCTAGGCCTCATGGTTGCTATGTCTTAGAGCAATGAACATGGCTCTGCCACAATTAAACCCCTTCTGCAAGGGCACCCAATCAGGGTGCAGTCAGACAATGTCACTGCTGTGGCCCTACATCAACCCACCAATTTGGCACTAGGAGGCTTTCAGCCCTGAAGAAAGCAACCTAATAATCCTACCTCATCTTATAAACTAAGTAGAGCAAAAGAAGACAGTGATTTCTAATTGCACCAAACTGGCCCAGAAGGATTCCATCTGGCTTCTCAGTCACTGGCTTTATTGACATGCCTGTTGAATTCCAGGTTTTAGGAGACAGATGAGCTTCTCAGTCTGTCATTACTACTTTGCTGAAAGCAGGAAAAGTCACTTCCCAAAAGATCTACCATCTTACTGGGAAATCCTTTCTCAAGGTGATATTCTTGGAAATATTACCTGTGCCATGTGCAAGTCAGGAAAGACGGGGAGATTAGAGAACTCAATGCATGATGTACCTGATGTAAGAGGGAAGGATTTGGGTTTCTAGAGCACTGGGCTGACTTTTCATTGGGGTGCAGCCTATTTGCTAGAGATGGTTTGCACCTAAATGGAATGGGGGTCTGCTTTGCTGGAGGAGAGGTTTATGGGAAGGCTGGAGGAGTATTTAAACTAGGATCGAGGGGGGAGGGAGAATTATATTATAACTGGGTAGAAAGATCAGACGGGGTCAGTACTTATTGGTGGGTGGAATGGGGAAAGATTGGGGGAGGGCTATAGCAGATAAGATTGTTCCCATGTTACAAACAATCAGTGGAATTGGTACCATTTTGTATGAAAATAAAAAATATGCAAAATATGTTTGTTCACCAATGCCAGAAGTCTGCCAAGCAAAATAGGTGAGTTGGAAGCTTTGGTGCATGAACAGAACTATGATTTAATTGGTATTGCTGAATCTTGGCTTCATTCTTCACATGACTGGCCCATTCATATTCTTGGCTAGGTACTCTTTTGGGGAGACAGGGGTAAAAAGGAAAGGTGGTGGTGTCTGTATATGAGACATGATCTCAGAGCGAGTGTGAAAGAGGATATAATTGATGGAGAGTGTAATGAGGCTGAAGCATTATGGGTAGAATTGCAGATGGGGGTGTGTACTACGAAAGGTAATCATTGGAGTTTGTTATTGGCCTCCCAGTGTTAATGAGGAGGTGGAGACTCTGCTTCTTGCACAGATTGTAAGGGCTGCAAAGACTGAGACAGTGATGATAATGGGGGATTTAATTGACTGGAGTAATGGTACTGCAGGAACAGTTAAAGGGCAAACATTTTTAAACCTACTACAGGACAATTTTATGGTACAGTTCATAGAGGTCCCAACTAGGAATGATGCTCTACTGGACCTGGTAATCTAAAATCATGCAGAGCTTATTACGAATGTCCATATAAAAGAACATCTGGGTAGCAGTGACCATAAGGTCAGGTGTGAACATGCAGGCCCTTTACAAAATAATCTAGAGTGGGTGACTGTAAACACAGAGCTGAAAAAGGTATTTAATAAATTTGCCTTTCTTTGCCCCCAAAGGAGCATGGGGGAGCTCTTGTCCATAATGAGCATGGTATTGGCACAGCTACAGATCCACATTGGCTCACAGTTGATATGATCCAAAAATATTTAGACAGAATAAATGTGAATAAAGCATCTGGACTGGATGGCATACACCCACGGGTCCTTACAGAATTGAGCTCTGTCATTTCAAAGCCATTGTTTCTAATTTTTAGGGACTCTTTAATGACTGGCAAAGTATCACTGGATTGGCGTAAGGCCAATGTGGTGCCAATATTTAAAAAGGGGTCAAAATCTTTACCAAGTAATTATAGACCTGTTAGTTTAACTTCTATAGCTGGGAAGATACTGGAGAGTTTAATAAAAGACCACATAGATGAGTTCTTGCTGGGAAAAAAAATATTTTAAGCAACAGAAGTTGTCAAACAAATTTTGATTTCTTTTTATGAGGAGGTGAGCAAAACCTTAGACAGAGGGGTGGCTGTGGACGTGGTATACTTGGATTTTGCAAAAGCGCGTGTTCCCCCCACACACAGCTAATATGTAAGGTAAAGTCTACGGGTTTGGAAAAATCTGTATGAGAATGGATAGAAAACTGGCTAAAAGATCGTATTCAGAGAGTAGTGGTTAATGATTCATACTCTGCATGGTCTGGGGTTGTCAGTGGTGTACCCCAAGGTTCAGTGCTGGGACCCTTACTTTTTAATATATTTATAAACGATATAGGGTCTGCGATTAAAAATCCCATTTCATTCTTTGCAGATAACACCAAGCTGTGCAGTGCAATAATGTCCTTACAGGATGTCTCCAACTTACAAGCCGACCTCAATGCATTGTTTCATTGGGCAACTATGTGGCAAATGAGGTTTAATGTTAATAAATATAAGGTTATGCACTTGAGGGTTAATATGCATGCATCATACATACTAGGGGGGGTACAACTGGGGGAATCAATGGTGGAGAAGGATCTGGGAGTTCTGGTAGATCACAAACTTAAGAATGGCATGCAATGCGAAGCTGCGGTTTCTAAAGCGAGCAAAATCTCTCTTGTATTAAAGGAGGTATAGACTCCAGAGAGAGAGATATCATATTACCCCCCCTGTACAAATCATTAGTATACCTCATCTGGAATATGCAGTTCAATATTGGTCACCAATTCACAAAAAGAACATTGGGGAACTGGAGAAAGTACAGAGAAGGGCAACTAAACTGATAAGAGGCATGGAGGAGATCAGCTATGAGGAAAGAATAGAGGAACTGAATTTATTCTCTCTTGAGAAGAGGAGATTAAAGAGGGATATGATCAACATGTATAAATACATCAGTGGTTCATACAGTAAACTCGGTGCAGAGTTATTCACCCTGAGGTCATCAGAGGACAAGGGAACACTCTTTACATCTGGAGGAAAGGAAATGTAATCCTCAAACATTGAAAGGTTTCTTCACAGTAAGAGCTGTGAAAATATGGAGTAGACTCCTTCAAGAGTTGGTTCTGGCCAGCTCAATGGATTGCTTTAAAAAAGGCCTGGATTCTTTCTTGGATACACAGAATATAACTGGTTGCTTTTTATAGGTAAAGTTGATCCAGGGAATATCCGACAGCCTCTTGGGGGATCAAGAAGGAATTTTTTTTTAACAATGTTTTGGGGGGGGGCGGGGGCAGTGGATGATGTCAGTGGTCCAATCCAGGCCAATTTTCAGCTTTCAGCACTATCACATTTTTGAGAGACAATTACTCAGTCATGTAACACTGTACCCATATGAAATTTTTATCCTTTTTTTTTGAGACCGAGCTTTTGTTATATATATATATATGAAGAAAAAAAATTTTTTTTTTTTTTTTTTTGCTTTTTGTTAGACAATTTTGCAAAAAGATTTTTCTTCATAAAATGTATTTTGCTGCATTTTGGGGGTAAACATAACCCAAAACCATAAAAAAAAAAAAGTCAAAAAACCCAAAACCGTTTATATTTAGTTTGTGTAAAAGCTTTAGAGTCTATAAACTATGGGATATATATTTTTGAAAATTGATCATTTGAGATCCTAAAATGTTGGACGCTGGTATGGCAGTGATTGGGATGCTGGTATGGGGTATGGTGGTGATCAGGGTGATGGTATGGTGGCGATCAGGGCTCTGGTATGGGGGGGGGGGGGGGTTTGTGAGCACTGGGACAGGTGACAGGTCATCCCTATTTTATTATTATCGTGGGGCAGTGATCAGGGACACTGGGGGGTGGCTGGTACTTCAGTGTGTGAGTGTACAAGCAGCTTGACAGTCTGCTGTACACTCTCACACACTGCAGGATCACTTCTCTGCTCTTACATTGAGAGCAGAGAGAAACAGTTTTACTTTCATTTTCTAGTGTTTACTATGTGAGTGCTGTGTTTGGTCACAGCATTCACATTGTCAAACGCCACGTGTTCGCCCGAACACAGCGGCTCTGTGGGTGCGCGCTCTGTGAGCTTGTCAGGAGCCATCGATGCGGGCTGATGTACAGGAACGTTAGCTCGCATCTGCGCTGCTTCCAGTTTGCCGTCTATGTAGAATGGGCAGACGGGAAGAGATTAACAGCCCTGTTTGGGGGGCTTTGATAAAATATCAGGGGTCTAAACAGACCCCTGAAGTCTCACTTCTGAGACAGAGAAAGGGACTGAGGAAACATTCTCCAATCCCTTTCTTGTAGTCTCAGCTACACTGTGGATGAATGAACAGGAGACAGCATTTACTATGCTTCGGTTATGAATGAACAGAGTCCGTGATCGGTAATGACCCATTTAACAGCCTCTTCCCCCTAACAGAAGGAAGCCAGCAGTACTTCGGGAGGGGGGGGAGACAGGGGTAATCGATGCGGTATCGCGAAAACCGATCTCCCTGTATGGCTCACCATGAAAGCTGCGGGAGGGATAGGAGGAGCCATACAGGGAGATCAGTACTTGTAATTGGCCCTCCGCCGCACTGACCACCCGACTGTCAGATTTCCCCTGATGTGGGTGTTTTCTGTGCATTTTGGCACAGTTCACCTGCACAGTGGTGTGGAAAACTGCAGCACTGTTTTCCGCACCACAGGTGACACCTGTGGGGAAGTGTGAACAGGGCACATAGAAAATCATTCTTTTCTGTGTGCCCTTGGGCAGAAAAAACACAGCTCCCTGCTGTAGTGTGAATGAGCCCTAAACTGTGCTGCTTGTTGTTTAGGTAGATCTTGCTTTCAGTACCCATGTGTTCTTTGTTTTCTCAAATATGGAAATGTTGAATAAGTAACCAAATTTTGACACTTTTTTTTTTTTTTCTTTTTCTTTTTAAATAGGAAAGTAGTGCTTATGAAAATATGCCATCACAAGGCAGCTATGATCACAGACAAAGTTATCAGGAGGCGGAACCGCAGAATCAAGAGTATGATTACTACATGGAGGAAAAAGAGGATAGCCGAAAGGGACCATGGAATATGCCCACTTGGGATATGAAACGAGGTAGGAGTTCATTAGCTTTGTCCTGTGTGGTACATGAGTTTCACAAATAGAATTCTAGTTTCTCAATGTATATATATATTTTTTTTTTTTTTTATTTTTTTTTTTTTTTACCGTTTCTAAGATACCCCAAGGTGCTATTACTTTTTACAGTATCTGTAATGTTTTACAAAATAAGTTTTGTTATTTGCATTAAGACAGTCATGCATTTTTCTCGTTACAATCAGGCATTTGTTACAATCAGTAACATTTTACAGTTTTTAAATATACAGTAACCTTGAAAATGGCAATATGTATTTTGTCCTTATATTTTGTATGTTCTGTATAATACATGACCTCCTAGTATCATGCTTTTTTTTTTTTTTTTTTTTTTTTTTTTTTTTTTTTTTTTTCTGCTTGCTGCAATGTGACCCATTTTTATTAGCATCATACTAGCATTCTTGTACATGTTTAAAAATAAATAACAAATAAAAACACACTGTAAAACCAAAGTATTTGTAATGTGGTTTCTCTTTGCGTTATCTAACAATTTTCTTTACAATTCAGGATAATTGTTAACTTTTAGGCCTCTTGCACATGGTACTTATGTTTGAGCATCAGCATTTCTGGACATAATTTCGGGCATTTGCGTTTCGTGTATTTGCGTGCACAATACATATCCTAGGCAAAATCCATTAACATTTGTGCGCATATGTGTGTGTTGTTGTTGTTTTTTTTTTTTTTTTTTTTGTTCTCTCAAGAATACACAGTGCTTGTTTACGCTCCTGTGTACAGGCACATTGTAAACAATGGGCTGCATTTTGGATCAGTTAAAAAAAAAAAAAAAAAAAAAAAACCCTCTGTACTGAGCTTTTTCAAGCTGCAGTGTGAAAGAGGCCTTATTATTTAGGTTGGACCTATAGACTAGAACTCCATCCATTTAGCTGCTTTTACTTGGGGGGGGGGGGGGTGGGGGGGGGGGGGGGGGGGGGGGGGAGAATCTTTCTAACTTCTCAAAAGTTAATGTGAATACTATTGTAGGTTTCCTGCAATGTCCTCTCAATTACAAACACATCCACCAGCACTATTCAGCGACTTGGCGAAATAACCCTCTGTTTAGAACAGTGAGAAATCCTAGTTTTTGCTCATCTTGCTCCAAAGCAGAATTAAATGTCTTGTATTCAAGGCACTAGGTTTCACATACTTGACAATTTGCACCATTTGAATAAAATCTGTCTTTTAGCCCTGGTTCACATATGTGGCCGTGTGGGCTGTATTTTGCGTGGGCACAAGAGCCCATTCATTTGAATGGACTCCCATGCCCTGTGACACACGGAAGAATTCCCTGCACTTATTTGGAAACCGCAGACGGCAGGGGAACCTAGGTTCCCAGTGCAGTTGTGATTTCCAGTGCGGGTGGCGTGCCATTAGAATTAATGGCATCTGCCTGTGGGTCCGCATTCTTCTGTGCAGGTGGTGTGGCTGCATGGATTTTTGTGTGGATCCGCAGCAGCACCACCCACACATATGTGAACCAAGCCTTAGGGCTGCTATACTTCATTTTTGCTAAAGATTGACCCTGTTGGCAGCGCCCAGGTTGACAAAAGTCAAATCAACTTGTTGGGTGGAAAAGTTTGGAGACTGAACAGGGACCGCATCCAACAAGATGGTCACTGTTGGGATGTTCTGACAGCTGCAGGTGCTGGCTGTCAGATTACAATAGCTGGCAGAAGACATTTTGTCCATGTTAAGGGTAAATGGAGGAATCTGTTCAATCTCAGCAATCGGTGCATGTATGGCCAACTTTAGTCTTGCAGCCATGGACAACAAACTTCCTTCTTGTGATGACTGCAAAAATTAGACCCTGCATTGCCTTGCCATCATTGGCATAGATGTTGGTGCTCTGTTTCCAAATTTGATCATAAGTGGATAAAAACAAAAAAATAATTTGCGCTAGTAAATACAAAATAAATGTGAAACTAACCAAAAATAAATACAACAAAAAAAACAAGAAATAATACAAAAAATATAAATAAATGAATAAATGTCCCCAAAAAAATGTTCAAAATGAATATTCCAAAAAAATGTTGAGGAATAATTCTAACAGTCCACCACCAAATTGAACTTGGGTTAAATATTGACTTGAATTGTTTTCTCACAAATTTTTTGAATTTGTGTTATTTTGTGGTAATGACTTTGATTGCTTAGACATCCAGTGGCTATGAGAATAATTATATACATTTTTTATGCTAATTTATATATTTTTTTTATAATAATTTTTTTTTTGAGAGGTTAGAGCCCTCCTTTAGATTTGGACTGGCCCTTTAAATTGTATTATTGAGGTGATTGAGAGATATATATTTATATTTCTAATAGGGTGGCGTTTTCCTTTACCTCTTGGACCGACCCTTTAATGTCATAGTTTTTTTTTTTTTTTTTTTTTTTTTTTTTAGTATATATTTATTTGTTAATTTGTTATTATTGTCCTCCTGGCCTCTTGATGTCTATGAGAAGGAATCCTGTTTACAATTGCGGTGGTGTATTACAGCGATCTGTCAGCAGCGAGTCTTGCTTGCCGCTTGATTTTGTATTGCTGACAGCTGGCCGTCCCCTATGCAGTGAATACTTAATGAGGTTGTGACGTCTCACATCTATCCGCTCCGTGAGGATGTCGATGACGAAACGCGTAGGGCGGGGTCTGATTGATGTGACGTCATTACGTTTCCCAGCGATCTACTGCACATGTGCCGAGTGGCTGCGTTCGTCTACTGTGTTACTTTACATGCTGATACCGCTGGTGTCGGCTGGGACACCTTTTGCGTTAAGTGCAATGAGTACATAATAAATGAAGTTTTAAGGTACTGCACTATGAAGTTGTTGTTGTTCTTTTCCGAGTGCCTGGCCTAATACCCTTTGGATATGAATAAGGTGGAGTCTGGGAGAAGTGGATTTCCTTAGTGGTACTTTTCAATACAGATCATTGCTTCCTTCATTTTGGGTATTTGGAGTTGTCTTCTGCTAAATATCACCCTCTGGAAGTGGCTTATCCTGCAGAGTATTGCCCCCAGGGAAATTGATGTTTCATGCTGATTTATCTCTCAGCTCTGGTGAGTTTATTTAGTTCAATTTGGTGGTGGACTGTTAATTTCCTTCACATTTTTTTGGACTTCAAAGATATTCATTTTGGACATTTTTTTGGGACATTCATTTATTTATATTTTTTGTATTTCTTTTTTTTTTTTGTATTTATTTTTGGTTAGTATCACATTTATTTGGCGTGTTTTTGTTTTATTTACTAGCGCAAATTTTTTGTTTTTTGGCACACACTATATCAATTAGGGTGGAGTTTGCAGCTGGTAGATTAGGTTATATTTCATTGATACCCTTTCCTTAGGCGCCATTATATTCCCCTTTTTATTATAAGTGGATAAAACCGGTCCTATTTTTTTTCAGGCATATATTCTCTTGTAATTTTTTCAAATCATCACAGACAAATGTTTGCACATCCCATCTCTATTACATTAGTATTGCAAGAAAACAAACAGGACTGCTAAACCACAGACATGTAGCTAAGATAAAAGCAGTGTTTTTTAGTCTGAAAATGAGAATTCAAAATCCTAACTGCAGAGAATGTTTCTTTTTAAATTGTCATTAATAAGTAATGCGCCTGTATACATTTTTTTTATATTTTTTTTCCCCCGCTTCCTTTTCCAGCCAGCCGATTTCATGTACATCAACACAAGGCTTTATTGCATTTTCAGCAGTTGTATGGAGCTCTTCTTGACTGACTGTGCAGTAGCTCACTTTAGGTAAAGCATTAGGTTTTCATGGAGTCATTTATTACAATTTTGTTCACATATTAAGCAAACTTGTCGGCAACAGATGAATACAAAAATCTTCTTTATTGCATACAGCAGTAAAAATATTCCATGGCAAACGAACGCTAACGCATTTCAATCTAAAACAGACCTTATTCATAGCTATGAATAAGTTCTGTTTTTAGACTGAAACAGGTTTGAGTTAGTTTGCCATAGAATATTTTTACTCCTTTTATGCAATAGATGATTTTTTTTTTTGTATTCACCTGCTGCCCACATTTTTGAAATTGAATTGGACTTGTATACATAAGCAGATGGAGACTGCTGGTTGAGCACAGTGAGCTTGTGTGCTTTAATCCTAATACATCTGATAGGTAGTAGCACCCCACTCCTGTTTGGATTTGCAAGTGTATTTTAAATGTTTTTTTTTTTTTTTTTTGACGTTTAATTTTTTTTTTATTTGACTCTGGAGAGGATTCATGTTGAGGATGTGGATGACCTTTTTGACTAGTCTTCATTGCATTCTTCACTGGGCTTGTACCTTTTTTTTTTTTTTAAAGTGATTCATGGCTTCTGCTCTTGTTTCTCTGATTCTTGGAAGAATCAGTTTTCCTCTTTAAACAGTAGGTCCATCAATGATAATAGATTTGACAGCAAATTTTGGCTGAATTTGCAGTCTCACATGCTGTGTAGCTTTTTAAATCTTTATGCCCCAAATATTTCCCCTGGCTGTGCGTTTTTGCTCTAGTTAGAAGACAATTCTGAAAAATAGAATCTCTGCTACATTTCCTTTTTTTTTTCTCTCTAAATCTTTCTTTAACCCTTTTCTGCCTAAAGTTAAAACAAATATTAATGCCCAAGCACAATTTTGCAACTTTGACATGTGTTGGTAATACCATACATATCATCAAAACTACTTTGTGCATCCAGGTGGATTATACCTTTTTTGTTTTTTTTCAGGACAAATTGGGCATTCATTTGGTGGTAAATGATAATAAAATAAAGAAGAAAAAGTAATCAAAAAGATATATACAACCAAAGGAAAATTGGCCCAGAATTAGGGAAAAAAAATTTTTGCTACTATGATGACCTACTACCAAAGAACAACCCAAAATAAATTTTCGTGTTCCTGATTGTAGATTTCTCCTTTTTTTTTTTTTTTTTTTTTTTTTTTTTTTTTTTTTTCTTTTTTTCTCGAGAGATTAT